CTGCTGTCAAAGCATACTTGTCTATTTTCTGGACAGTGTTACCGAAAGGAGACAGTGCCTTTATGCACCATAAACATGAAATAGATTCCGAATACATCCGAAAACAGGACAAAATTGAAATATAAAAACATATCACTCTAACAAACAGACCTTGATGTTAGTCCTAGCTATAACATGACTGCTATTACACACAGCACTGCAATGTGTTCAAATGTTCAAGTGACTGTAACAGATGTAGTCAAGTTGTGAATGACAAGTGCTTGGAGGCTGAAGCGCTTCATATAAAGTGCAACATCACCTTGACACCCTTAAAAACATTCAGTTCAAACATATTAAACTCAACCTTTAAGTCAATATGGATGAGATGTTTTTAAATTGCTCAAAAAGTGTAAAATGTGAGCACCTACAACTCCATCTGCTAATGTGTTCGTAGATATGTTTGCAAAGGGACGCTGCCTGCTCAGTCATTGCGAGCTGCTCTGGAAAACGTGGATTCAAAGATTATTTTAAACCTTGTGAATAAAGTTTTAAATCATGATGTTCATTCATTTGGTTAGTCAAACCACTGAATGTTCTTGTTGTCAGTGCCAGTGAATGGCACTTGTGTTGCGTTCAAGTCAAGTAGTAAATACGAATGGCCACTTTTCTCCACATCTCAGCAATTCACTCCTGTTTTCGCCTTTAAAGGTGCCCTATGCAGTTTTCTCAAACCAAAGTTATGTTTACGTTCAGGGTTAAACACAAAAACACATTTGGATGTATCCTTGAGCTCTAACAAATGAGTTATATACATTGCCTTCTACATCAAACATTTGAGAAGATGACAAGATGACGTTTGAATCCTGTATTCATGTTTACTAGCAAGCAGTCTTCTTCTTCACTGCCTTTGTTGGCACATTGCTGCATTTCTTGGGGCATTACTTCCACCTGTAGATCAGTGTGACGCCATTGTCATGAAGATAGCTAAACTAAGTTGGGAGATACACAAGATAACTCGATGAGCTTCCGCCATCCACTGAGGAAGACTGTGAAATATGGTTAAAAGGTCCGGGAAACGCTAGTAGGTGGACCACGAAACAAAAGACTAACTGAAGTTTAATACAGAGAAAGAATGAGTTTCTTTATTTGATATTTGGTCTGCTAAGTGTAGACTAAAATGTTTTATATTTAAGAAAAAATACTAATAACAGGAACATTTACGTCCCTAAATAACTATACAACTTGAATTCCTCAAGGTTGTTGGTCTTGCTTTGAAGACTTCCAACAATTTTTCCCATAGGATTTGAATGCAGCACCGGTAGGCAGCAGTGACGCACTCTATTACAAGCCTGTGGTCCACTGCAGCACACTGATTGGGCCAAATTGAGGGTGTGTTCACAGCGTGGGCAGCTTTTAACAGACGTGAATTGAGCAGGAGATTCCAGTTTGTGGTATAGACACAACTGGAAAAGCACCAAGCCCATCTCCAGACGCGTGCCACCGTGTACTACACCCTCCTGTGTGAGCCTGCTGAAAATCCAGTGGACTTTGAAAATACTGCTGCATTGCAATTTCCGTTCTGTGCTCGTCAAGCTTAAGCCAATTTGTGGCACACAGACTGGAACAACTTTTTTTATTGAGGAGAACAAAGTCTATAGTGAGGGCATATCAAATTTAGATTAGACCATGCTAATATCACATCAAAACTAATCGTTGTATTAGAGTAATATCATAAGAATAGTAGACAAAATAGGACACGATCATCATGAATTCTACCACATCCAACATAATGTGAATATTGAAATGTTGAGGTTTTCTACACTGCACCATCTCCTGGCCAAAATACCTCCCATTTCTCAGCTGTGGTGACTTCTCCAAAATTCATTCCACTGACTAAAAACCTCAATTAAAACGATAGATACTGCTGTCTGAAGATAATAATTATCTATATTTGGAGCTATAAGTGATCGTCATTTTGGTTAGGTTAGAGTGGGAGTCCAATTCCTGCTCTGGGCTAATTTCATTGATGGTCTAAATATAGCATGGGTTTTAAAGTTTTTCCAGCAAACAGAGCCAGAGCTTCCCATGAAAAGGATTTTATGAAAATAAATGAAATGTTATGATAAACAGATTTCAGAGTCACAAATCTATGAAATTCGGCCGGCCACAATCAGATTGCCTGTTTGTCTGTCTCTTCCTGTGTCTGTGTCTTTCACACACCCACACACACACACGATGCCCAATCGTTTCCCCATGTTCGTTTATTGGGCGCCTGAGCAGTGGCGTAAGGTATTCGTTGTGGGGTCTGGGTTTAACTCGGATCCCCACACGCACTCAACCACACGCAGACACTAAATCACCTCATCGTTCCTCATTACTCTGCCACCCTGGGATGGAGACTGAAGCTTGTTTCTGAGAATTTTAACAGTAAACCGCCAGTGATAAGAAAGCCACTGGCTGTGGGTTTGGGAGTTGCTTGTCATCTTTATGGCTTCCTGGGATTCCTCCAGGTGCTCCAGTTTTCTCCAACAATCCAAAGATGTGCAGGTTAGGTGAAAAGGAAAATGTAGATGTAGTCAATCTATTTGTCTGTATGTGTTGGGCCTATGATTGCCTGGAAGTTTAGACTGTTGGATGTTTTATTAGGGTGAGGTTGCTCTGGTGCATTGTTTCTCAGACTTGTTACACTGCATACCAACTCATAAAATATAGGCTCACACAGGAGGCAGGTTGGTTCCTAATTAGATGAATTATTGCTGAATGTTGTTGAATCCTGAACAGATCCAGTTCAAAAACCTAATTTGGTTGAAAAAGGATCCACACTTCTCTTCCTAAAAGTTCCCATTTGGAGCCACGATTGCAGTGTATAGACTACGCGTCCCAGAATGCATCCCGATTTTGTTATCCACGCACTGAAGGTGTCCAGCCACTAGATGTCAGTATACTAGATAGCCTCTCAGTATCATATAGTTTCCAGCATTGGCACTCTATCCCAGTGGTTGTAGCCAGCAACATTAAAGGTCCAGTGTGTAACATTTGACAGAAATTGAATATAATATGCATATGTATGTTTTCATTAGTATATAATCATCTGAATATAGGAATCGTTATGGTTTTGTTACCTTAGCATGAGAAATTTTTATCTACACTTGATGTGGGACCACCATGTTTCTACAATAGAAGGGACAAACTTATCACTGGCTCTACATAAGGGCGTCTGCGTTTTTTGTGTGATTCACAGTCACCGTAGTTTCTCCACCACTAGATGCCACTAAATTCTACACAGTGGACCTTTAATAGTAGCAGCTGGGTCACCTGAACTAAAACCAGATTTTTGACTTTTTAAGCAATTAAACATTTTGAATTTGAAACCTTGCTTGTGGCAAGACAAACCGACAAACCTTATAGTCACTTTGACTTGAGTTACTTTTGACGATGACTTCTACTACTTTGTATATTTAATTTATTTTAATTGTATAATTTAATTGTATAGTAGTCACACACTTCTGAATGTCTGCTTGCCATTGTTTTCCCTAGACGCATGAGGTAGTTATTAATTATTAAGGTATTACTAAAACCAATATAATCAAATGCAGAGGCAATAATTTAATATGATAACAACAATGTAGTCTTACATTTACAACCAGCCCTTTGAGGACAACTATAAGGCTGATGTGACCTGGGATGAAATTGAATTTGACACCCCTGCGTGCTACACTGTAATTAAGGAAAGAAGGGGAACAATTAGTATCAGTGGGCCCCCTAGAGGCTTGGGACCCAAGTGCAGTTGTCCACCCTGCATCCTGATAGTCACTTCCTGCCATCAGTACCATTTCCTGTCCCTTCTGGCATGACAACGGACACAGCGATGTCCCAGCTTGTGCCGCACCACTGGGTCCTATAGAGACCTTTACCTGAGAGTAGTACCACCATTAGGTCACTGGAAACATTTCGAAGACAGAGACTTTATGTTCCTGCTGCAGGCTCAGTCTGCTTGCAGTTATTCCACATGGCATCCTCAAGTGTTGCTCTTGAAAAAGATTCCTCTAACGTCTCCAAATGTGCAACCCTGCCAATGTTGGTCCTCTATTCTTAGATCACTCTCTGTAGTAGTGGTTAGCAGACCTCATTGTCACAGACTAAACTGGGCATTGTGTAACAGACCTCTTCATATTCACTTCCCCATAAAAAAAGTTAGTTAAATGTTTATAGGCGCTTTCAGTTGTAAGTAAGCAGTTATTATTGCATAATCTCAAAATCAATATAGACTGTTATATAGAGTTCTGACATCTTGTTGTCTGTGTTATTAGTCATTAGTAGAACAATGAGATTATACTGTCATTTTCATTCAGTGTTTCTGCTATTGCAGACTTTTCACCCACTCTCTGTGAAAGCAATGGCTACAGACACCTTTGAAGCCATTGTTATTTTAATTACTACCTTGCATTAATGACTTAGTAGGTTGTAGACCCACAAGCTAAGCCTGTTTTATGTAGAGCACTTGGACATCATATGCTTCAATTTTCTCCAGTTTGTTGGCAAGCTTGGCATTTCTTGATCCTCCCACTGCTCTCATACTTAGCTTTGTAGCCTAAATAAGTGCTCTAGTTTTATGGCAAAAACAGACTTTCTATTGACTTTTCACTGCTGCAACAAGCAGAAACTGTAAGTTATCTTGAAATACATGTAAATCATAGCTTATAAACTGTTGGAAGATTATTCCAATGCCTGTATGTGTTATTGGAAGTCGGTATTGGTAATTAGCTATATGATTGACTTTTACGAGTTTGATTTGTGAAACACTCATCCCAGAGCTGTCACAGTCATCTTACTCATGAATATTGCTTTATGGCGCCAGTTTTATTGCAAAAAGGGGACTTTCACTGGACACTCCCCTAAAACCTTGGACGTGGATGTCTGCGTCTCTGATTGGTTGTGAAGCCCCAACCGACAACACCTGCTTAACTCCTTCATCCAAATTGACACCCGGGGCTCTGAGAAATATAGGCAGCATCCCTTCCAGCTCGTGCATTCAGTCCCACAGCTGCCCCATAAGACACCAAGCCGCAGCTGCGCTGATCACTGATCCAAGGTGAACCCTCACACACACACACACACACACACACACACACACACACACACACACACTCACTCACTCACACACTCACACACACAAACCCACACACACACACGCTCGCACACTGTCGGATCTTTGCTGGGAATCGAAGCGCACTGTCGGAGACGCAATGTTGGTCAAACTGGCCGTGGCGCTGCTGGTTTTGTCAGTGCTGGAGCAAGTAGTGGGATCGGATAATATTGATATCCATGACAGCCTCCCGGAGAAGCCCGCGAGCCAGAAAGGACGCCTCTCCCTGCAGAATACAGGTAAGAAAATAAGTGTCAATGGAGATAAGAATGTGGAGATTTATTGGTCGGTGCGACTGCTCACACATCTACGTGGGGTTTGTCTGTACACGTGTTTCTGTGGCTGCACATTAAACCACGCTGGGGGACTGGGTCCGGGCGATTTGAGCAATCCGCTGTTTTTAACTTAAATCCCGGGGCTGCGGTGTACAGGAGTGACCCTTTTTCGATTACTCAGAAAGAGGATATCTTGTAAATACTCTCAGACAGAAATTCAATATGTTAGTAAACTATTAATAGAATGGCACAAGGTAATAGGTAATGTATATGGCAGCGCATCTAGGTGTGCGTGCGCGCTGGTGTACGTGTGTGCGCGAGTTATAGGTAACAGTTTCAGTGGGGTTTTCTAGAAGAAATTTGGCTTTTTTTTGCGCTGTGTTGTCTGTAGGCTTGTCTCTTGAAATGAATGTTGGGTTATGTGCTCACGCAGGTTAGTAGAGCAGTCGTGATTGTAGTAGTGTGGTGGTTGGTCAGCGCTGAAGGCAAGCAGGAGTGTATTTATTGAACCAATCCTCTGGGGAAATATTGCTTAAATACCTTTAAAGAGGCACGTGTGATTTGCCTAATTAACCCAAAAGCACTAACACCACACTGGACTGCTGCCTTTTCCCCCAGAAACTTGGCGTTTATATTGGCTATCCCCCCCTCCTTCCTCCTCAGACACAGCATGACTTGCGACCCACCATGTGAGCCCGTGTCAAAATATTACAGCATAATTGTTATCTTGCCTCCACGCTGAAAAAAATAGGGACAAACTCCAATGCAGGTTTCACAGCAGAGACCCTGGTAACACCACTGAGTAATTCAATGCACGTTGCGGCCAAGCTCGTACGATCCAAGCACATTCCCGTGATGCCAAAACAAGCACTGCTGACAGCGGCTCACTTTTCCTGCGCACTGAAGTTCAACTCTGTGCCTACAAACCCCGCAGCAGCTCTTCCCCTTCCCCCTACTACTGCCCCCCCAACAGAGGCTCTTTGTTGACAAGCGTGATGTCTAATAAGTCACATTTAATCCTTTTGTTTGCTGAAGTCTTCTTTACGCAACTGGTGCGCACTTCCGACTGAAGGGGGGGAAAAAAATGTTCTTACGCCCATCAGTTATCAGCTCCAAGACAAATCACGCGTGTAATTATGTTTTACTTAGGTCAACAGTTTGGGTTTTCATAGCCAAAGCCGAAACAGTATAAGGCCTGTTGGCTCCCAACCTAACCTGCAATTTGCCATATTAACTTAAGAATAAAACAGTCTCAACGATGTCACACAGGATAAGCAGCAGTTTCTGTGACAGGCTCCCTGCTGGTAGTCAGATGTCTCATAATACATGCTTTCAGACAGCAATTTGGGGTTAAAAGAGAGACCTTCACTTTCTCTCCGTAATTTCTGTCCTCAGTCATTTGTTTTTATTCCTGTCTTTCATGGCTACAGTAAAGAGAAATGGGCACCCGAGAGCCAGCCAGTGGTGTGCAGGAGCTTATATTATGTATTCACATGACATATACTTACATATTTCCCAAGTTTGTTTTTTTTTGCCTGCATTGCTGCTGTTTCACCTCCTTTGTGTAGCTAATGATGCACCTTTTTTATCATTGTGATCTCAGTGTGCCATCTCACTTTGTCTTTGAATGCGTTAACAAGAGACTTGTTGATGCACATTTAGTTGACAGACAAAAGAAATGACTGCATTTGTGTTTCCTCCACAAGTAGTCAAGGCTGTATCTGCAATGCACCATCCCATCTCAATGCTAGGCAGTGCAGATGGATTGTGGTGCAGAATGACACAGTAATATCTGTCACCAAGTGTTCCTCTGCAGGAACCCCTGAGCTTGGGAAATTACCACCCCCACCCTGCATCCCCTTCTCTCTGTCAGACTCTAGGTCATGCGAACGACCGCCTGTGTCTGTGGAAATAGTTATACACACACATCAGCTTTGTGATTTGCGCAACAATCTGTGCTGAAGTGGAGTTTTGCCTTCAAGCCGTATGGTCTTCATTGCCAACACGCCTGTAACAATCTGCTGCCGTCTCTGCTGTGAACAGATGATAAGGTCCCTCCCCTAACCTGTTCTCTCTTTCCAGCTGAGATCCAGCACTGCCTGGTGAGTGCAGGGGATGTCGGCTGTGGTGTGTTTGAGTGCTTTGAGAATAACTCCTGCGAGATACGAGGGCTACAGGAAATCTGCATGACGTTCCTGCACAACGCTGGCAAATTTGACTCTCAGGTACTAAACTAGTCTGTCTGTGTGTTTGCAAAAAATATGGTATAACCAGAGGCAACATTCCTTTTCCTTTTCACTGGTTCACTGCTCCACACTCGTCAGCCATGAACGGATTTGTTTACCTGTGCTTTGTTTTTTTTCTACATACCTCAAAAATGTTTCGGTTTTTCTAGAAGTGCGATCACACATACACTGATCTCATAATCTCTTTTCCTCTCTTGGGAAGTCCACTTCCTTCTCTGTGGACCGATGCATGTACAGTTAGGACCAAGGGTCATGAGCCAGTTGGCCGAAAGCCCAGTTAGCTCCCTTTTCATACATAGCAGAGGCTGAAGCCCTGCGAAACCAGGCCTGACCGTGGTCTTAATATGTCTATAGGGTCATATACTAGGAACTTGCATCTTTGGCAGACAAATCGAGCAGATTATATAGTTACACATTCATACAAAGTAACACAATCACACATACACTCCAACACTGGAGTAAACAGGTGCACAACATGTTCAAAGTACCAAAACTTGTTACGTGTAAGTAATACAGATGTCAAAATGACATAGTGCCACATTGCCAAAAGTGTTTTCTTTGGCTGATGTGTGAACTCTCAAGTTTCAACAACTTCAGAGGACTTTATCTTGAGAGTTTGCTCAACAGTTGTGTCTCTGTGTGCACACAGGGGAAGTCCTTTATCAAGGATGCTCTGAAATGTATGGCACATGGGCTACGGCACAAGTTCAGCTGTATCAGCAGGAAGTGTGTGTCCATTAAAGAAATGGTGTTCCAGCTCCAGAGAGAGTGTTATATCAAACACAACCTGTGCTCTGCTGCTAAGGAGAATGTGGCTGTCATGGTGGAGATGATCCATTTCCAAGATCTCTTCCCTAAAGGGTGAGTGGCTGTTCTGGACGGCATGTTTTGAACATATTTTCTCTAGCCTGTCCCTTCTCTTTTATCTCTGATTGTTTACCTTCCCCGGACTCTTCTGCCAGTTTAAGCCTCTTCTGTTCTTCCATGTATAGTAATAGTACCATCCGATTTATCCCTGTCATTTCCTAGACCTAGATGTATTGTGATTCCAAATATTAAATCACAAGCTTCATGTGAGTTATCTGCCTCTCTCTGTTCAGTCCATATGTGGAGCTGGTGAATATTCTCCTGAGCTGCGGAGAGGAGGTGAAGGAGGCGTTGACAAGGAGCGTCCGGCTACAGTGCGAGCAGAACTGGGGGGCTCTGTGCGACAGCCTGAGCCTCTGCTCCTCCCTCGCCCCGTCTCCTGCCAGCTCCACCGTCGAACATCACCGCCGCCACTTGCCATCCCACCCTGAGCCAGAGCATCCTCGCCCGCCACGGCAAGGCGACAAGGAGAAACCCGGTAAGGCAGGCTTCAACGCTCACCCACGCAATCGCAGTCAGGGACCCCGTCGCCAGAGTCCAGAGGCCGGAGTGGTGGCTGAGCAGGAAGACCCAGAGGCCACCGACATCCGGAGGTGAAAGCGCAGGAGACTGTCCCAACCTTTGATCCCCTACAACATTTGAACAACCACACTTGCAGACTTATGCACACCTCCACAAACAAAAGCACACACACACACACACACACACACACACACACACACACACACACACACACTTCTCCACACACACACACACACACACACACACACACACACACACACACACACACGCACATGCAAACACACACACACACACACACACACACACACACACACACACACACACACACACACACACTCTTCTCCACATACATACACATACAAATTCCCAAACAGACTGAGATGAAGGAAACAAGCCCTGACCTTTCCTGTCCTTATTCCGCCCTCTCCAGTCATTCCAGCAGTCCCACATGTTAAACTTGCAGGGTAATTGTGGTGTAGCTTGTACCTTTATGCCAGACTGTAGGCCACGATTTTTTTTTAAATTGAATAATAATTGTTATTACCATAATTATTTCAACTGTTAGAACTATTTTGGCTCTAATATAGCATTTCTCAAATCATACTTACTGTAAGATTTGATTATATTTGTATTATTTATTTTATTCTTTATGCAATGTTGAAATATCAAAATGTACATAGAAATATACTTATCTATATTTATATAAACATGTATAAATATAGTTACAATATGCAATACTGATATACTATAGATGACATAGTATATGGTGAGCTGTCTGTTGTTCTCTTCACAGTATTGCACCCATCACACATTGGTCTGTAGATATGTAACATACACCATTTGTTTCAGTGGGAATGTGTATTATAATTATAGATACTTGATGATTAAATACAAATTGTACAGGTTTCAAGTCCAGTTCTGGCACATATGAATTGTAGTGCATGATGGCCACAAAGCCAACAAACTTGTGCATTCTTAAAGTGAAAATCCATTTTAAAGAGGATGCAAATGTAATACTATGAATATGGACAGTTATTTCACACTTGTATGTATTAATAGGTCTCTCACAAAGCTAGAAAGTAAGAGAGCCGAGACTGATCTCTGATGTCATCAAGCACCGCTGTCTGGGCAGCAATGAATGGGAGACTGCAGACACAGTTTTATGGACTCTTATTAGTGCAACTCTGACATGTGTCTCATTTAGATGCAGAATCACTCTTATTCACTCTCGTTAATAGAGCCTCAGAAACTGTGTCTCAGTGACATTACAGATTGTCTTATATGTTTATAGCTTCAGGAGACATTATTGTTCTTGTTCACAAATAATAACTAAAACTGTCTGATGTTACACATTCTCTTTGAGTTGCTTTTCCATCCAGCTATCAGTGAACTGCAGCGAAGAGAGGATGCTCAATCAAGTCCTTTTTTCAAATGTAAAATCACACACATCAAGGTGCCTAAACTTGTTATTGTCCACAGTGACCGCTTCTCTGTGATTTAAGTGAATGGATGATACTGTGTCATGGGGTGATTTAATGTTGAGATATTTTTCGACGATGTTGAGCCACAAAAGTCTTAGATTTTGCACTTTGGATGATTGTCAGTTTGTGTTGGACTGATGCAGGTTAAGAAAGAAGACCAGGCTATCGGAGCAGTTGCCCTCCAATCATACCTTACTGTACAGGATATGTCATTGGTTTTTCTTATCAACTACAGCATTAAGTCCTGTATCCTCCACATGCTCCTTAGGACCAGACTGAGCCTCTTCTTTAGAGAGCAATGTTACTCTTTTGTGGTGTCCCAGTGGGCAGGAAAGAGGCTTGACAGAAACCCTCCAGATCTCTGGCCCCTCTAAATTAGCCGTTATTCCTCTCTGGTCCCTTACCTAGGTCAGGAGAGACATGAAGGCCTGTTATTCTACCCGTTAGAGCCGCAGGCAACGCAGCAAGGACCCAGGAACTGGGTTAAGTCCACACACGGGGGCTCTGGCGCTGTTATTCTAAATGTTATATTTACCGAGGCCACCAGAGAATTCCTCTGGGCCGCAGCCAAGAGCCAGCAACACAGAGAGGCAGAGAGGAGTGGAAGCAAGAAGGAGAGAGACATGCTCAACTTTTTTTTTTTAATGTGATGATTCACTCTGTCTTTACTTCTCCTAGGACTCTTCTTCTCTTCCTCCTTTAGGTCACAGACACAGGCTTTTGACCATTTCAGGCCAGTCACATGCTTTAGCTGTGGAAGTGCAGTTTGTGAGCACACTACACCACATGCTGGGGAGCGATCGGTGCAAAAAGACGACATGCTCAGATTTTGTGGCTCAGTTAAGGGTTTTTTTCACTCACCGCCCCTGATGTACTTACATTAAGATAATGCTTATTCTCCCAATCATTTAGAGACTATTATAAGCTCAAAGGGTTTGAATTATCAATGAGGATTTGAGGCTTTTCTTTTTTTATTCTGTTGTGGAAGTTGGGATTCCTGTGACATCCCGGCACGAGACATAAGCTAATCCTATTGAGAATGTACTGTATGTGTGTAAAGTGACAATCTGTTTCAGCTCTCTGTCATTTGGTTTGATATGGCTTTTTGTAATAATGTAGTGGCTTGAATGGCTGTTATTTATGTGTTCGGAGGAAAATAAAACTAACCACGTTTCCTGTATTGTTAGTGCTCCATCACCACATTACGTGTTTTCCTCTGTTAAGCACAAGGTCTCTGCGTTCACTGTTGAAAATACAGAACATGGTCTAGACATTTGTAACTCACCTGTAAGACATTGGGCATATGATCCTATAAATATCTTTGGACTCATGAAGTCAGATGTATCTTGTTATCATTAAAATATGTTTGTCTGTATTTTGTACATGTTGTGTCAATCAATATAATTGTATTTATATTGAAGTAGTACAAAATTATGACATAAACAGCACGACAGGGACTTGCGTGGTGCAGAAAGAAAATGTAGAATTACTGTAATACAAGAGGACAAAACTTTAAGTGGTAAGACATTCAACGAGCTCTGAGCAGGTTAGCAGAGAAGGCCTCGTCGTCTCAGGTATACACACAAGTTAAGAGACACCCTACTCTCGTTTGACTTGCTACCTCCTTTCTGACAGTGAAATACGGGCTGTGTTTAAAGTTTCAAGGACTGGAAATATCCTCCCTATTGAAAGACCTAAACATTTACGTCAGCGGCTCTGGATTGTACGCAATGCGTGGGGTGTGTTCAGGGTGTCAGTTTTTATGACTTGTCCCAACAGTGTACATTGCCTCACTAAACATTTAGACAGTGCTCTGATTTGAAAGTTAGACGTCCAACTGCTGTTTTGGAGCTTTAAGTCCTTCTTGAGTCAAGTTAAGTACACTGAGGTGCATTGGCACTGGCCATATATGGGAATTGGACACACAAATCGTGGCCCTCATTTTTTCTTTTCAATTTGTCTACAGTGTGGCATGTAAGAAGGATGGCTACATGTCATGTCATGACAGATCATACAGCTCCTGTAATATCAGCACCTCTGCAGTTCAATGTAAAGTGGCCTTGCGCATTCTGCCACAGCTTTGTACAAGTCATCGTTCTTTGAGTGTGCAGTAATACTAAATGACCACTGGGTGGTGACATCTCTCTTTTTATTGCTGTAAAGGCAGGTGGTGGGAGCAGGTGCAAGTATTAGAATTTTAATAGGGTTGAGTTGAGTTATTTGACTTAAGCTACACGTGCCTTTCAAGCTGATGTGAAAAGTTGGGTAAAGTATTTGATGTCTCAGACTTTAATTTGAAACGAAATATGAATGTAAAGTATCTTAACTTCCTGTAATCACCCTGTTTCTCTTGTATTACAGGAAGCACACAAGAACAGTATGTCCCCAGACAACCTAATGAGGAACAACAGATGCATTTATATTATGTTTTGATGTTTGACTACAGAGATAAAGTTGAGTTTCGTCATCATTACGATACCAAGCCTGTGCAAGCATATGTGTAATATCTTCTGCGGCTCTGGTGCAGCTTTCCAAAGTAAAAAATTACTCTGATGATTTCACAAAGGTTATGTTAGTTTGGTCTAGAGACTTTTTTTAACAGATAGCCTGTGTTACAAACTGGAAAAGGGTGTTTTTTTCATTAGACTTTCATAGGTCTACAATAGGCATGGATGGTCTAATGAAAAAACACTTTTTGGAGTGACCAGATTAAGATTTAAAAATCACAATATATTAAATTTGACCATCTGTTTCTTGTGTTTTCTTCTGGAATACAACATCGCTGGAGTACCCCTTTAACTTGATTCACTATTATATTCCCTAAATTATACACAAAGTATGTCCCAAACTGCTTAGATAGATATGACACTGCATCTTGCATCTCCATCTGCACTTATCTTTACATTCAAATGAATTTCTAAATATGTTGGCATGCACAAGTTAGAATTACCACAATAAATGATCCTCTGCAGTGTAGAGAGCGAGTGAAATATGTCTACATGAATATTCTTTTTTTTTTGTCTCCCCTGCACGCAGATGGAAAAGGCAATGCGAGCTACATGCCAACACTAAACAGTATTCTGACATCGTCGCCCGTGCACAGTCAGTGTCACACTATAGTCAGGAAGCTGATAAGCAAGGCCACAGGGTGAAGTGTGCTAGATTCCCTGGGACTACAGTGTGTGGGAGAAATTATGCTGTGTCACACTTAGCTTGCAACAATACATTGAGTCTGAGATAGACGACCTCCTGGCCAAACAATGGGCTGGTGGCTGGACCAGAAATCTCCCAGCTTGCATGGTTGGTATGGCAACGAAGCCCTATCAATATGGAGGCAGCAGTGATCACATCTGAGAGGAGGCTAAACAGCAGAGAGAGAGAGAGACTGCGCCTCTGAACAGAGAAACCTGAGATAGTCAGCCTCGGGTGCTTTGTGAACATCTATCCGGGCTCCAGTGTGAACTGATGAATTAATGACTGGCTGCCTAAGTTCCGTGGATGAATCATTTAGGAACCATCTAGGATGAATGAGTGCACCTCATGTCTGTCTCATGTTGGGCACCAGGAAGATGAATGTCCTATATTTACCTGAAGTTGGTACAATGAAAATGTAATATACTATGTACTGAATAATCATGTGTACCTGTTTAGCTGTATGAAATGAGTGGAACCTCAGCAGCGAGGCTCAGTTTCATTAGGGAATACAGAGTGTGTTGCTCTCAAGGAAGAAAACGCTGACACAACTCACTGTGCTCGAGTTACTGTCAGCCTCCAAAGACCTAAAGCAGACAGCAGCATACACAAGATGGTGGCTCCCAACACGCGTTCAAACACACACATTTACACACGCTGTACACATCCCTGTGGTATTAAGTCAACAGACTGCCATAGCAACCAATGGCTCACTCAATTGGTAGATACCAGGCCTGAGAATATCCAGCAACACCTGGATCAGCAGTCTGTTACTTTTAAGAAGAAACCAGAAGATCAAGATAAACTGTTGTTAAACCACCCCAACAGGCCCTGCAGCACATGGGAGTGGGGTGGGGTCATGTGTGCTACTACCACAGGATACAAATAAAGGGTGGGTCTGCCTTGGGGGACTGGAACATTGTGTTAACAAGACTAACTCAACAAGCAAGCAGTAAATAATACTCTGAAAGACTGGGGTGGAAAGTAAATGAAATTTAGGAGCTCTTTTAGGTCCTTTTTCGCTTTTTGTTTTTAGTGCATTGTAAAACCAGTAAGTCTACCTTTTATTTAAGTTACGTTGGGATTGTTCTCACACTGTTTATAGAAAAGAACTCACCCAGCAGCCTACAGCTGTGGTTTTATGGCACATGAAGATACTTGAATTTGCTTTGAAAAGTCCTTTCCTTATTAAGGCAGCCTTTGCTAATGTTTTAAGACAAAATGGCCAACAATCACAATAGCATTGCTGAACTGCACAGGAATTTGTTGTTTGAGTATTTATATTAAATTGCATTTAGTCAGGACTCCACACATGACCTTTTATAGTGACCACAATTAGCTGTGTGACATTTACTAGAACAGTTTAAAAGAGTCTCTTTTGCTTGACCATCTTTGACACAAGTCATTTTACTCCCACTTTAGTGGGTGAGTAACATGAGTACTTCTAATGAAATTATCCTCTCCTGGTGAATGATCATTAGGGTTTTAATGAGTAGTTCCAGTAAACAGACACATCTAACCTATGTCTTTCACCTCCACATTGCCATATATATATGCCATTCGTATTCTACTAAGTGAAGGTATGATGTGGTGGTATGATCAGAGCACAGCACAGATCTGAGCAAAGTAAAATTAATCAAGCTCTCTCGTTCGATTACGTGCTGAAAATAGAAGCAGCTTACTTTAATGAGATTGCTATGCAGTACTTTGCCGAGGACTCGGGTTGTAACAGTCTGACAAAATCCAACAAAAGGATCTATCTATCTATCTACAACACACTACCTGCTAAAGGTGGAGGAAAAAACATTTGCTTAGCCAAATTAACTCATCTGCATTTGGAGTACAAGGTTGCAAATACTAGACCTATCTATGATTGTATAGCATTTTCTCACAGTACTCTTATGTTAAAATGTCTTGTTTTAGTCTTGGTTAATGGTTTAGATAGAAACTTCTTGGATCTTATAATGTATTTCCCTTAGAACAACTCCTCCCATTGATTTCAAGGAATTCTTATTTGGGAGGACAACGTCTTGAGTGCATGTGCCATTCATTGAGAAGGGGCGCTGTGGGCGTGACCTCACGGCAATCATCCAATCAGATGGCAGATTTAAGCAGAAGTGGGCGGGGCTTCCGAGGGAAATCCTGACACACAGTGGCTGGTGGCTGATGGCGGGGGCGGGGCTTGTAGACGGAAGTGTCTCCCGACTGGTCCAGCTGTCATCTAGAAGAGAGAAGAGACCATTTACACCGGCTGCCTAGGAAATGCAGAAAAAGGGAAAACGCTAAAATATGGCAACATCAAAACGATAAGGTCATGACGCCGAACTGAAGGTAGCTATGCCCGACATATCACCGAATACACACGTTTGTATGTACGTTAGAACAGCAGTCGGGGTTGGCGTTGCGTTGTTTCGAGGGGTAAAAATGATGACAGGGATTGGTAGGCTGTGTGACATTGAACATACAGGACACGAAACAGACGAGGTCGTCTAAAGAGCCATACACCATTACCAACCACTCATGTCCTGAACATTCCGCCGCCCAGCCGTTGGCAACGGCGTTGTGTGCGTAACTGAAAATTCGAGGGCCGTTGTAGCCGTTGAAGCCGTTTATTGCTTCCCAGTTGGGTTTTTATTTTATTTTATTTTTTTTAATTATTTCGTTGCAAATATGCTTCAACGTCTCTGCGGTATCGGGCTATTATCCTAGCCTAGCGGCTCGGTGACGGGAACTACCCTACATTCAGAACAGACAGGAGACGTCATCAACATTTTCCTGTGTTTTTAAATGGTTGCGTATGAAGGGAGGTCATTGCCGAAAAGGGGAAGATTATTCGGTAAGTGTCGGTGCCGTGAGCCGCCAGCCGCGCTCGACCGTTCACGGATGCAGTGTTACGCATAAACGTACTTTAACATTGACTGCCGGGATCTGCATGATTAATAGGGGCACATGGACGGCGGCGGAGCAGCTGTTAGCTCGCTGCTAGCTGCGTAACGACCTTTTGGAGACGTCAGCTTCACCAGCCCAAGCTGTTAGCTGCCTCCGCTGGTTAGTGCTGGGTGTTTTCCGTGGTTGCCTGCCTGCTATTCGAGTATTATATTTCACCCAGGCCTCCCATGGCCACACGAGTCAATGATTTAATCTCATTGATTGCATCACAAGACCAGACAGGGTGCAGCCTAA